CAGCGGCGGGCGTCCAGGCCCACGGGGCTGCCTGGTCAGCTACGCCCCTGCGAATAGACACGAATGCATGGCCAGGAGTCGTGTGCAAACGGTGAGGCCATCTACTGCAGGTCGTGTTCAAAACGAGACTACGATCGGAATGCCGCAAACTTGGTCTAAGCAACAGCTTCCGGTTGGCCATAATTCCCAATTTTCGGAATTTTACTCAACGTCAAGACTTTTACCAAATGGAAAACATCTAAATAGGGGGCAATGTCTAAATGGTAAAATAGTCATGTTATTATCGCGCCAAGTCATAACGTTCCAGGATCTTAGAATGGATCAACTAGGCAGATGAACATTTCTCATTTATGACAGCTAGAAGTTTACCTGATTGCTTCGGGACAAAACGACAAGAAAGGACACTAGTATTCGTTGACATCCCGAGGGACTAAACAACTAGTTGTCAGGTCATATGTCATATGTCAGCACGTCTTTCCCCCCTCCTGTCAAAATACCTTGGTTTCTCTAGCCTGTACTCCTCGAGTATTTTTAGCAACGTCGTCTATGTGCACCATAACACTGCCTCGCTGTGCACTAAGAACCACGTTGTCTATGTGCACTATAACACTGCCTCGCTGTGCACTAAGAGTCACATTGTCTATGTGCACTATAACACTGCCTCGCTGTGCACTAAGAGTCACATTGTCTATGTGCACTATAACACTGCCTCGCTGTGCACTAAGAGTCACATTGTTTATGTGCACTATAGCACTGCCACACTCTGCACTTATGGAGTCACACACAAACACACACACACACACACACACCAATACCCGAGGCAATAACACTTCACGAAATAATACGGTTGATCTTCATTCTTGGTAGCTGCCAAAAGATCTGCCAAAAGATCTACCAAAAGATCTTCCAAGCAGATTATCAAACACCAACTGTTACTTAGATGGGACCGCACTACCACAACTTATCCACGATGACACAGCTCACGAGTCAAGTCACGGATCAAAAAGTGTTCACCTTAACAACAGTGGTTCTCATACTCTTGATCATACAAGGACTATCAACGTGGTAGAAAACTATATTAAAAAAAAACCAAAAAAAAAAAAACAACAAACAAACAAACAAACCCACAGACATAGGCCTAAACATATTTAGTCACGAATCAAAAAGTGTTCACCTTAACAACAGTGGTTCTCATAATCTTAATCATACAAGGACTATCAACGTGGTAAAAAACTATATTAAAAAAAAACCAAAAAAAAAAAAACAACAAACAAACAAACAAACCCACAGACATAGGCCTAAACATATTTTAAAAGGAAAAGTTGTTTAACTATATTTTTTAATGATTCATGAAAAGATCTACAATTTGAAAATGTGTATTTGTCATTAAAATAGTGTTGACATGTTTCTTAGTTGATATGGGGAAACGAGCAGACTCGGGGGAATAACAGAGATATATATTACTGGAAAGGAGCGCGAAAGACACAAAGCTGGAGAGTTAGACAGAGAAGTGGGGCCAAGGGTGAGTTGGGAAGAGCCTGACAGTGAGATAAGAGAAAGTGAACTCCATTTAGAAGTCAGGGTAAGGTTCCTCTAGGGCGCGTGTCATTCAAACAATCGATCCCAGACTTTATCGATTACTTTCAGGTTCGATTTTTCGCCAGTACCGGATGCTGCATTGATTACCTTCATATGTTTATTATTGTTTAAAAAAAAAATGGAAGTGAAAGGAAAGAAAGAGTGTTGGATCATTAACATTTATGGAAAATCGATGACGTAACGGATCATGGCTTTGTGCCAAGACAAGCAAAACCATTAGGAGTTTTAGGTTCTGAGGCAGATAGCCGTTATTTCAAAACATCATCAATCGTTTTTGAAGAAAAAAAAATATTTTGTTTAATGAAATTTATTTATTATTAATACTTACTTTTTACAAATGAAAAAAAAAAGAGAAATATTTTTAAAGATTAAAATATTAATTTATGTCTTTTTTGTAGAGCGAATATCCTGCTTCTTAAGCACTAGACGAAGTTTTTATGTGCAGTATAAAAGGTATTGTTTACTAAAATTTTTTAGATTTGTGCTTGGTGCGTGAAGTAGTAAGAAGTGACAGCTCCCGGCAAACAGTTAATTTTTTTATATTATCGGGGCCTGCAGCAACCAAGCTACGGAGGCAAAGATCTTATTTGCAAATTTCATCGCAATCCCATCTATTTTATTGCGCACAATTTAAAAAAAAAATTAATCTTGCTTTGGGTCTTCAAAATAATCAAGTAATTATCGAGAAGGCAAAGATTTGCCTGCTTTCTAAATATTAAATTAAATGAAATATTTATAAATTAGACTTTTTTTATTCGACTTTTCATTTTTTCATCTGTACAGTTTTCCATGCTGTTTTACATGGTGTGTTTTGAGAACATTTTTTACAGTTTCTTTTTCACTTTTTCTACAGTTTTTAAAAAACTTTTGTACAGTTTTATTTAACTTTTTGTACAGTTTTATTTAACTTTTTGTACAGTTTTATTTAAGTTTTTGTACAGTTTTATTTAACTTTTTGTACAGTTTTATTTAACTTTTTGTACAGTTTTATTTAACTTTTTGTACAGTTTTATTTAAGTTTTTGTACAGTTTTATTTAACTTTTTGTACAGTTTTATTTAACTTTTTGTACAGTTTTATTTAACTTTTTGTACAGTTTTATTTAACTTTTTGTACAGTTTTTTAAAAATACTTTTTGTACAGTTTTATTTAACTTTTTGTACAGTTTTATTTAACTTTTTGTACAGTTTTATTTAACTTTTTGTACAGTTTTATTTAACTTTTTGTACAGTTTTATTTAACTTTTTGTACAGTTTT